TGGACTGTGTAAACCCCGAGCTCCCGACGCTGTACCCGTGTACTGTATGCGAGCGTCAGGTCCATCACTTGTGTTCAAACGACTTGTTCGACCCGGAGAACATTGCGGTGCAGTAAATAACTTTATATTCACCTGCTTATGGACTGTTCTAACGACTTGTTCGACCCGGAGAACATTGCGGTGCAGTAAATAACTTATATTCACCTGCTTATGGACTGTTCTAACGACTAGTTCTAGTTTCTGTAATGCGCAATGCGTGTTCAGCTGGAAGGCACACCCTGGAGAGAGGTCAGTATATGACGACCCAGATGCGTTCGAGATCATCGGGCCTGGCCAGTCGCGCAGGCAGCTTGCCAGTCAAGACTCTGAATCCACCATCACGGAGTCGGAAGACAGTGGTTGCAGTCAATCGTCCGTCGATTCGACAAGTGACAGTCGTGTGTGGGTGGACGCCTACGGCATCCCGGTGGAGGTTCACCACTACCGTCAGCTTGGGAAGCGAGACGATGTCTGGGACATCGCCCACGTGCTGTCGTCGCCGTATGCGACTAGATATGACGATGACGCTGGGCGCTTCACGCACGTGTGTGTGCTCTGTGCCCTAAGGCTGACTAGCCATCGTAACGCCTCGGAGGACGCGTGGGAAGGCGCACTACGGAAGTTTAACCACACCTCGAACGTCAAGGACCACTTAGTGGCGAAACACAGCTCGCACCCGATCGGCAAAGCGGAGGCGACCAAGCGAGTCAAGCGAGCGCGTCGACAACTCGAGGACGCGTGTAGCCAAGTGCCTGGCTCGATGACAACCGACACGTCCAGCGTTGACCACTCTACAAAGGGATCAATGAAACAGGGAGTGCTGAAAAAGCTGTGGGGGCCGTCGAACATGCAGCTCAGAGCATATATTGCTAAGTGGCTGATCAACGACGGTAAGCATATCACTGTTACGTATTGTTATGTTGGTTACTGACGCGTTATATTATTGGTTGTAGGGCTACCTTACAACACTGTGACGAGCGAGAGTTTCCGAAGTTTAATGGAGGTTGCTACAGGGAAACCGGACGTGGTTGTTCT